GAGGGAGAGTCAGACAGAAACATCAGACAGCGAGAGGGAGAGTCAGACAGAAACATCAGACAGCGAGAGGGAGAGAGGGGTGGCAGAAACATCAGACAGCGAGAGGGAGAGTCAGACAGAAACATCAGACAGCGAGAGAGAGGGGTGGCAGAAACATCAGACAGCGAGAGAGAGGGGTGGCAGAAACATGGAGATAGCGAAAGAAAAGGACACGGAAACACAGAGAGAGAGAGAGACAGACAGAAGAAATACCAAGAAAAACGGAGGGAGGGAGAGAAAGTAAGGCTGATACCTAGAGAGAGAGAGGCAGAGAGACAGAGTGAAGTAACGCAAAGTGAAAGAGAGGCAGGTGGAGAGGAAAAGACAGACAGAGAAACAGACAGCAAGAGAAAACTGTTTATTTCTCTGGGACTATTAGCTGAAACAAGTTCTGCTGAGCCATGCAGTGCAATGTTATTCCTCGAAGCAGAGAGAGAGGGAGATTTTGAGGCTGAGCAGCACCGGGGGAAATCTGAATTAAAAAAGAGATCTTGCCTGATGCCAGCCCTTTGATATGTTCAGCCAAGTGTTAGAAACTACACGTGCCAGCACAGCGAGGAACGTGCACAGCCTGCAAACGGAAGAATCCATATCTCTCTCTCTCTGTGCGTGTATGAGGGAAACGTGAGAAAGCTGAAAAGAATTCTAAATCAGGGTCCACTTGATCAAGCATCGACTCAAGCAGTGGGCCACTGAAATCAGAACAACCACGAATTCCCCACTTTGTGGGGGTCCAATCCGTGGAAACACAGCGTCTGTCTGTTGTCAGTACTCAGCAAGTCTCACCTTGTCCCAGCCTCTCTTCCCTTGACCAGGAGGTTGTCCACGCCCCTGTTCAGCTGGCTGCGGAGGGGTGATTCCCTCTGAGACAGACGTCGTGCACGCTCCTGTCCCACGCCCCGGTCTGCACCACCCCGGCAGCTCCCCGACCCGGGGCCGCAGGACCCTCTGCCCCTCCACCCCCATCTTGGAGGAGGAGCTCTCTGTAATGGCACCTGTAGTACTGAGGGCTGGAGGGGAACCCTGGGAGGGGGTGAGAGGGGTGGAATCCTGCCTTGCGTTCACCTGAATGGGAGCAGACAAGGGGTCACACACAGACACACACACTCTCTCACAGACACACTCTCTCTCACACACACTCTCTCACAGACACAATCTCTCACAGACACACTCTCTTTCACACACACACACTCTCACTCACACTCTCTCTGTCTCACACGCACACTCACTCTCTCTCACACACACATGCACACTCACTCACTCTCTGTCACACACACACACACACACACTCTCTCTCTTTCTCTCACACACGCACACTCACTCACTCACACATACACTCACTCACTCACACACTCACTCACACTCACGCACACTCACTCACACTCACGCACACTCACTCACACACTCACTCTCACACACACACTCACTCACTCTCACACACACACTCACACACTCACACACACGCACACTCACTCTCTCTCTTTCTCACACAAACGCACACTCACTCTCTCTCTCACACACTCACTCACTCTCTCTCTCACACACACACACACACACTCTCTCTCTCTCTCTCTCTCTCTCTCACACACACACACACACAAAACGGAAACCGGGCAGCAAATGGGAGAATCGCTCCCCACATTTCCCGGGCCCAGGGACATCCCAGAAATTCCTCCCTGCCCCGGAATAATCGCTCCCGCACTGCGGCATCATCCCAACAATGCAGATCAGGACATGAACCTGCCCCACCATTCAATACGACCGCAGTCCAAACACATACAGGTTAGATGGATTAATCCATGGGAAATTGTCTCGTAGTGCCCAGGGATGTGCGGGTTAGGGTGGGTTGGCCGTGGGAAATTGTCTCGTAGTGACCAGGGATGTGCAGGTTAGGGTGGATTGACCGTGGGAAATTGTCCCATAGTGCCCAGGGATGTGCAGGTTAGGGTGGGGTTGGCTGTGCGAAATTGTCCCATAGTGCCCAGGGATGTGCAGGTTAGGATGGGAGTGGTTGTGGGAAATTGTCCCATAGCGTCCAGGGATGTGCAGGTTAGGGTGGATTGGCTGTGGGAAATTGTCCCA